GTTTTGTGCAGCGGGTAACATGTTCTGAACAGTTCCCTCAGGCTGTCCTGTGAAGTAAATGTGGGAGCAGAAAGGGTGCAAACTAGGTAGCCAGAGGGCCCCGATACACTTCTTTGATTATAGGTTGGGCCAGTGCAGTGGAGGGTTCAGATTCAGAACTGATTCTGGAGGAGGCGTTGATAGGACGCGCTCACACACAGTGTGGAGTGTGCGGGCCAGCGTTCCACTTTGGCTACTTTCCCAGGTGAGGAAGGTGAGGCTCGTGACAAGTGATGTGTTTGGTAACAGGAATTTTGTCTCAGCGATACTAAACTGTAGATGACTTCAAGTAGAGTGGCAATGTGATAGACAGTATTCATGGCTGAAGGTCAGAAGAGGGGTCAGAAATTAAAATGCGGGGTCATCAGAAAAGAGATGAAATGTTAGTCCTCTGGCAGTTGTCTAAATGGCAATGTTCCCACAGGCTCAGGCATTTGAACACTTGGTGCCCAGTTCATGGTGCTGTTTGGGGAAGTTTAGGGGACGCAGTCTTGCCAGAAGAAGTACGTCTCTGGGATTGAGCTTTGAGAGGTTCGGGCTTCACTCTCCTCACAGCTATCTCTCTGCTTTGTGCTCCAGGTCCAAGATGTGAGCTCTCGGCATCCTGCTCCACCCGCCATGCCTGCTGCCTCCACCCTGCCATTACGGACACTAACCCCCTGCAGCTCTAACTCAAAACGTCCTGTCACAGTAACAGAAAGTAACTGTAGTCCACCAGCTGCCTGCCTCAGGCTCCCTGAGAAGACCACAAGGCTGGTGTTGGGCCTCCTCACCCTTCCACATTCAGGATAGGAGAGCACTGTCTTCCAAAGAGAGGCTGTTACTTTGTGGCAAATGATGTGTATAACTTAATTTGTTGAAACCTACCAAATTAATACCTTTTTCAAACCATAATGTCCCAGCTCCTAACTTAACGAATGATTTTCTCTGCACCTGCTGGCCTCCAGGGCTCTCTCTGTCATTTGTTCTCAGCCGAGAGCAGCAGACCTCAAGTTCTGCTCTGGGAATGGCTGCTTGACCTCTTTTTAGGGAATTTCTCCAGTGAAGGTCTGTTTTTTCAATAAACCAGCATTTTTATCTTCATCCTATTTCTCAATGAAACTCAAATCAAAGGCAAGGGGCTTTCTAAATATGAAAGACGTAATGTTTGGGGGTTATTGCTTTACAGTTTTGACAGTATGAAAGCTAGTTGTGGGATTAGACATGCTAGACTCTGAACTGTATGAAACCACGCATGGTCCTGCCCTGTACTGTATGAAACCACGTGTGTTCCTCTAAGGGGGACATTCTCACTACCATCAAAGTGCAGAGAACTGACATACTGCTGTTCTGAATAGTTCCACTAAAGAACTGCACTTTTTTCTTTTAGAATTAGGAATGGAAAACATTCTTTTTTATAAAGATAGTTGAGTTTTGTTTGTTTTTTTAAAAAAAAGAAATACAGTTGTTACAGACTAACCTCAAATCACAATACAGTGTCTGGGCTTTCCATGCCACACTGTACCACCACTCCCTAAGGACACTGGCCAAAAGCAAAGTCATGGCCACTAATGGTCAATGTGGGCCAGTCTTTGTGAACTAAATTAATAATGCATTGGCTATAGTGAATATAATTACATATGCACACTTTCTCTAAATAAATGAGAAGATATTGTCAGTTGCCTGCCTTGACTGTAGAATAGATAGTCACAATCCATATTTTAACACCAAAACACCACCCCTCAACCAACTTCTAGCCATAGTTTTAGTACTGCTTCTTTTGGCATTATATGTCACATTTGTTACTAAAACTCCATTTTACTTCAGTTTTGAACATCAAATTCTGTAGACAACGAAATTGGTGACACAGGAGGTCTCTGAAGGGAATGCAGCTTTTCTCAAAATGTGCTTGTCAGGCAGTTAAGAACCACCTTAGTCTGCTGGGAATGCAGACACAGGCCCAAACACCAGTCCACTGAACGAACTGGCCTGTGGTGGGCTGGGTTCCTACAGACACAAGAAAGCGAGTCTCTGGTCTGTAGTGGAGCTTATACCAAATAATCTATTTTTGCCTTCAGAGACCCCCAGGGCAATGTCTTCGAACCCCTTTCATCCCAGAAATTCTGCTGAGTCTCCATATTTACCCCTCCTGCAGGTTGGTAGGAGTCCTACCATATTATCTTACTTTTCGGTGGGAAGTGCCTTCTCTCCTTGCGAACAAAGAGGCCCCGACCGACCCAGGAGGTCCTGCCACTTTCAGGAACAGACTCTTTGACGTTCATACAATCTAAAGACTGGTAGGCCTGGCTGAAGTGCCTCTTCTGAACTCGCAGGAAGCTGACCTGATTGCTTCTCTCCACCTGACAGTAGGACTCACGCTTTTCGTTTATTTCTTCCAGAAGCTGCTTTCTGCTCAGTCTGTCTTTTTTCACATCAATGCTCTTGTTCACAGATGCCATTTTGTTAGCACACCAGTTATCAGCTGACTCTTGCCGTCCTGCAAACACATTGCTTATTCGTTTCCTGTCCAACTCAGAAGCCAGATTCACCATCATATCCACATTTACCAGTACTTTCTTCTTCTGCAAGACCATGTTTGGAAACATGCTACAGAACCGACTCAGGTCATTTATTGGCCCCCAAATACTGCAAGATTCAGCAGCACCCAACAATTAATGCTGTATTTTCCTGCCACAATAGCCTGTGACTGATCTAAGATGGGCCTGCAGTTTACGTTTCCCTCTCTGACTTATGAACCTTTTTCATTTTATCTCTCTGCTTTGGGAAATCTGTGAGCTTAGAGCTGTATCTTTAACAATACCTGCTGCAGTTTGAACACAGTATAATTATAATGGAGGAGCCTGTTAAGAAGCAGCTGAACCTGGGTGCCTTAGCACTCATATCTGTAACCTCAGCATTCAGGAGGTTGAGGTAGAAGGATTGTATTGAGTTCACGGCCAGCCAGGGTTACAGAGTAAGCTCTGGGTCAGCCTGGGCTAGGGTGAACTCCTGCTTCAGAAAACAAAACAACAATAAAAGCACATACAAAAGATAATTATAAACTACCTAAAATAGTCTGCTGGTATTTAAGTGATTAAATAGATATCTTTAGATATCTATTGCTGAAGTAAGAAAAAAATCCTCTCAAAAATTGCCAATCCAATCCTCTCAAAAAACCTCTGAAGAACCACCTTAGGCTTCTGGGAATGCAGACTGCAGGGGCTGGCATTTGGATCTGGCAATTTTTAATTAAAGGAATTAAAAATGTTTTGTAGAACAATTAACATCAAATAATTTGAGTTGTTTTAGTAATGCTAACCATTCTAAGTACCAATTAATAATATGACAATAAAAATTATCAAGAATAATTTGCCTGGGTGTGATGGTGCATACCTTTAACCCCAGTACTAGGGAGGCAGAGGCAGGTGCATCTCTGTGAGTTCAAGGCCAGCCTGGTCTACATAGTAAGTTTCAGGACAGCTAGGGCTATGTATAGATACCATAATCAAAAAAACAAAAACACAAAACTAAACAAACAATGGATAAACCTAGTTGGCTCAAATACCTCATTTAATCATTAAATATCTCTTACTAAAGATACAAATTTATCAGAACTTAAACTCTAAATTCTATCTCCTTCAATACTTTTGGAAGATACTAGGAACTGCATATTTGAGACAAGAACTTTACCACTGACATTCTCAGCCTGGCTGTTGATAGTATTGTTATCCTCTGGATGATGTGCACATGAAAACAAATGGACAGAGGATCCACATTTTGTTGAAAGCCCATTTTATAGATCTATTCAAAGGTTCACTGGGATCACAAAATTAACACTTTATATCACTTACAAATTTGAGCCCAACACTCAGCTGTGGAATGCAGCGGTAAAACCATGGACTTGTGGTCATTTGGGTCTCTGTGCTACCTGCGCTACCTACTACACACACACTTTAAGTTACCTTCTCAGGGCCTCAGCTTCCTGACAAGTCAGTGAAGATAACCAGCTCAGAGTATCACATAGACTAGATGAACTAATTCCTATCAGAGTCTACTATTGCCCATCCTCCACAAATGGTCCTGCAATTTATCTCGTAATCAGGCGCTTTGAAAAGAAAAAGGTGTAGTCTACCTGATAAGTAAACAGTATATCTTGGTCTCCCTAATCACTAATCTGTTTACATGTGTTGTGATGAAAATTGGTGGGCTCCAGTGAAGCTGAAACTACCGAATTCTTGTTTTAAAAATCAATTGAGACATTCAGGAGGTCAAAAGCAGAACACCTGCCAAGACAGGCCTGGTGAGCACCAGCCTGCACAGGCTGCAAGCCTAGCAGAGTGGCCCTTTGGGTGATTGGCACAGGAACAGGTCAGTCTGCACAGCTCGTTCTCCTAATTTTACAATCTTCTAGATGCAGACAAGCTGTGTGTGTAACCTATGACACTGAAGATATTTGAAAATGTGAAGCATGAACACAGAGACTTTATTTGTAGAGTTCATGTTAAGCTTTGCTGTCACTAAAATCTGTAGCCCAGGTCAGTACTTGTGGCTTTCACAGTCCGTGGAAGACAGCACAGAGCAGCAAGAAGTCTGTTTCCTGCTGCCCGCCCCTGGTGAGGAGTGTGGCCACTCTACCTTCTTCTCTCCGCTCTCAGACTTTACTCTCTGTGGTCTATTTGGCATCATATTCTTCACGTCTGTGAGGTTTTGTTTCTTCCAATGTCTAAGATGACCCGAGTGTTGTACTGGAATGCTGTCAAGTATTCTTGTGCACCCAAAGGTAGAAGAATGTGTTAGATCTGAGATGTTGGCTGTGAATTCAATGGATCAAATTTGAGTTCTCAATATAGATCAAGTAAGGTGGCTTTAAACAGAAGCAGGGTACACTATAGTCCCAGTTACCTGGAGGCTGAGGCAGGAGGATCATTTGAGCCCAGCAGTTCAAGAACAGACTAGGCAATATAGTATGATCCCATATCAAAATAACAACAAACTACAAACATATGCAAAATAAGGTTATACATTGACTGGTTTACCAAAGCTTATAGGAACTTGATCATCTAGGAGAGTGGTATTTGCTAGTTCAGTGTTTACAGTGATTTTATGAATACAACTACAAGGATAATGAGAATAGACTACATACACAGAGAAATAGTATTATTATTTCTACAGGCACAGAAACTGTGAATTACCTTGAACAACACCAACCCGAAGCCTATGAAGTACACAGTGGGAATCAGCCCATTGGACTGTACCCCGGTGATAGAACTTTCTGAGCTCTGTGAATCACCTCAGCTCTGTTCTGTTCTCAGAACCCTGCTTAACAGAGGAAGTCTCTTCAGAGACCACTTCTTTCCTAACTACGTGTCCTTGGCTAAGTGACCTGACTTGTGTTTATTGTCAGTGAGATACTAAATCACCTGTCAAATGGAAACAAAGATACTCATTGAGTTGTGTGGCAGACGACAGGGAAGAAGCTGGGATTATGTAAGGCACACATGGAAAGCTGTGCTGTGGGTGCTTCCGTTTGCTGGGTGCTGAATTTCTTGAGCGCCCATTCTATGCCTGGTGCCAATCAAGAGCGTGCTTCCGTGAAGAGAGGTGCTAGGAGCTCACTTGGGTGTTGGCATGAGCATGAAATTCCAGCTACAGGGAAGCTGAGGAACAAGGATCACTTGAGACCAGGAGTTTGGGGGCAACTTGAGTAATATCACACAATCTCATCTCCAAAAGAAAAAAATACCTTCATGTTTTGCACAAAGGACTATTCAGCTATCTTTTTGTTTGTTTGTTTGTTTGTTTTTGTATTTGTTTTTAGGCAGTCTCACTATGTAGCCCTGGCTGTCCTAGAACTCACTATGTAGACCAGGCTGGCTTCCAACTCGCTGTGATCCACCTGCCTCTGAGTCCTGGGACTGAGGGAGTGTGTCATTACACTGGCTCAGATATCTTTCTTCAGAAGAGATCTCCTCCTGCTTTTTAAGAAATTCTCAAGAAATAAATTTCAGAAATATAAAAGTCAGAATTTCTTTTATTTCTTGCAGGAATTAGTGATGGGGAAAGACTGGTAGTGAAAGTTTACACACCAGTTCACTGAATAAGTGTGTAACAGTCAGCAAACGAACTACGTCTAGTGAGCCTGGGGTGTGGTGACTGTGGAGACCAATGTAGAGTGGTTGAGGGATGAGAACAGCTTTGTTTTGTTCTGAATGCCACAGATAATGCAAAGGGTTATCAAAAGGTTATAATTGATTGAACATAATCTTGACATTTTTAAACCCAAGGATACTGGATTCTCTCACTTCCAGGGCAGCTGGAGGAAGGTTTTTACCCTGTGGGCTTTGGCTTACTTAGAGATGGGGCTAACCATTATAGATCTTTGGGATTTGATAACAAATTAAACTGTCTTCTGGAATTAAAAAGACTGAAAAAGATGGTCAACATTAGTTTTTCTAAAATATATTTGAGGTTATTAATTTAGAAAGTTATGCATGCTGTGCCCAAATACCATTATTTTATAGTGTGATAATTTGTCATGTAAGTAACCTACTCTGGTTATTCTCAAGCAACAGATTTTCCTTGCTCAGAGATTATTTTCCCTGCGGGCTGCACTTTAAGACTACAGTGATCCTCATCCTCCCAATACTCTGGTTTACCAGCCACCCTACACGTCACTAAAGGCTTACTTCATTCTGTTCTGACACTGAGCCACACCAGATTCACTCATCTGACCAAAGGGATGGTGTGCTAACATCGTCATGTTCTCAGGTCTAGACCTGAGGAGTCTGTTTGCTATGGTAGTGTCTTAGGGTTACTATTGCTGTGATGAAACACCATGACCAAACCAACTTGAGGAGGAAAGGATTTATTTCACTCATAGTTCCATAAAACAGTTAATCATCAAAAGCAGTGAGGACAGGAACTCATGCAGGGCAGGAACCTGGAAGCAGGGGCTGATGCAGGGGCCATGGAGGAGTGCTGCTTACTGGCTTGCTCAGTCTGCTTTCTTATAGAATCCAGGATCACCAGCCCAGGGG